AATAGTTTACATTCTTGTTTCCTTCCATGCCAACTCTTTGAAATGCAGTGTACATTTATTCTTACAGCATCTTCTTGATCTGGTCTGGCCACATTTCAAGCGGTTGGTCGCCACATGTGACCAGTGGCTACTGTACAGGACAGTATATCTCTTGACATTCTTGATTTTATGCTGGGATTACCCCATATCCTTGGAGAGCGATCTCTTTGGACCACATTACTTTAGCCCCACACATCAATTTCAGCACCGTGTGTGCAGCCATTTAGTGGTCGCACAGGACACAGTTCAGTGGAACCCAAAGTAGCATCTACTGTTGAGATATTGTTGAGGCCATTGATCCCTACATCCCAATGTCCTCTTTTTGGGGATCTTGCTCAGATTCCCCTACCAGAAAGAGCAGAGCTTTCTTTCTGTTAGACTTGTGCTCGGCATCAGGCCGTTCCCAGGATCTCAGTTACTACAACTGCCAACCCACCCCTTTCTGGGGTTCCCTGTCCTACCTGCCAGGATGAAGCCCTGACTCCGAGCCAGCTGGCCACAGGCTGAACAGCCACCTGCTTTGTGAGACCAGGCTCGAGAGTAATGGGCTGTGCCACTGCCATTTATCCCAGCAGCGTGGAGCCACGAACCTTTCTTCTGGAGGGTCCAGAAGCTTAGAAGTCGTGCAGACTGGGGGCTCGAAAGCTATTTGGGGGTATTTGCAAAGGGAGAGAGGAAAGAATGGGGGGAAGCAGAGGCAGAGACCCCAAGAAAGGAGAAAGAAAGACAGGGGTGGCCAAGCTACCATGACCCCTGCCCTTTCTAAGCCTGGGTATTTGCACACTGGCTGCCCTGCACCTATGTCCTTTAGTAACGAACTCACCGTGCCTTTGTTTATTTACTTCAAAGTCACACAGAATCTCACTGGTTACAAAGGACCTATAGAGACAGAAAGCAGATTGATGACTGCCAAAGGTGGGTGGGGAGGAATGGGGAGTGGCGGCTTAATGGATATGGGGTGTCCTTTGGAGGTGAGGAAATCGTTCTGGAACTAGCAATGGTGACGGTTGCACAACAATGTGAATGTGCTTAATGTCACTACTGGTAAGTTTTATGTTTTGTGTGTTTTATAAAATATAAACAAATATACTCGAAGAAAAAATAATTCACTGTATCCCTTTTTCCCTTGAGCTTGTTTGTTGTACACCATAAAACCAGAAGGGCCCTAAGACAAATTAGGGGTCGTGGGGGAGACTGAATTATGCCCGTCCCTTCCTAGAACCTGTGCACGTGTCACCTTCTATGGCAGGAGGGACTCGGCAGCAGTGATTAAGGATTGTAGATGCAGAGCCCCTGGCTTATCCAGGTGGGTCCCAGATGTATTCACACATGTCATACGAGAGGGCTGCAGAGGAAGATTGAAGAAGAGAGAGAAGATGGCCACAGTGTGATGAACACTGAGACTGGAGCGATGTGGCTGCAAGCCAAGGACTGCCAGCAGCCACCGGAGGCTGGAGGAGGCCTGGCTGGATCCTCCCCTGGAGCTTCCGGAAGGCCAGCCCCGCTGACACCCTGACTTAGCCCAGTAACCCTGAACTCAGACTTCTGACCTCCAGGACCATTAACAGAAAAAGTTTCTGTTGTTTTAAGCCACGGAGTCTGTGGTGATTTGTCACAGCAGCCACAGGACTCTCCTGAAGCCCCCGGTCCCAGCCCTGACATACAGTAAGGTGTGTCTTTCCAAAGCCTCATTGTACAGATGACGAAACAACACCCAGAGCTGGAAGGACGCTTGCTGCGGGCCGCGCGGGCCGGGAGCCAGGATAGAAGGTGAGCCCCTCCAGCCCTGGCAGGGGTGTGAGTCAAATCTTCCACAGCTGAGGAAGTGCCCCTCGATGGGCACCAGGCTGACGCGCAGTGGAAAGTTGGGGGGGTGGGGGTGGGGGAGGGCGCGCATCCCACAGTGTCCTGAAAAGGATGCTGGAGGCCATTTGCACTACCCGTGAGCAGCCCCCACAGTCCTTCCTCGGAACCCCCAACAGAACGATCACCAGGGGGTGGTGACAGCACTGGTTGGCTGTCCTGCAGCAGGGTCCTACTCTGGAAGCCACAGGGGGACAGTGCCACCTCCAACCAGGCCAAGAGCACAGCAAGGTCTCATGCCCCGCAGTGCAGGGACACCGTGCGCTGCACACAGCACCGTCAGCTGGAGAGAAGTGGCCACACGGCATCCTTCCTCCCTCCGTCTCTCTCACACACACCCACACACACTCCCCAGTCCCCACAATTTTCTCCTGCCAAGCCCAAAGCCTGACTATGAGCATAAAGCTCGGCCCTCCAGCCAACTCCCTTCCAACCCACCCTGGGCAAATCCCCATGGGCAGCAGCAGATGCTTCCCATCAAATGCCAAGAAAAACATCCTTCCCTCTCCTTTGTGGGCCACACTGGGCTCCCCACACAGGAGAACAAGGAAGGGCCAGGCGGGTTAGGGGTGCGGGTCGGCCAGCTATTGTGGACAGTGAGCATATGAGCTGCACACCCCCAGGGGAAGGGAGCCCCCATGCCTCCAGGCAGGCAGAAAGGTGCTGGAGCAGGCACAAGCCCCGTGCCTGGAGGGGGCCCCAGCAGCCCCAGAGTGGAGGCCCGGGGCAGGCAGGGGGGAGTGAGGGCCCTGCGGAGTCTCTCTAATGCCGGCAGTGAGCTGGCTGTGCTGTCACATTTGGTAGACATCTTTCTTCCGGTTCCTTTTGAGACCGACCAAGGAGAGCATTCTGGCTGCCCCGAATCTCAAGACAAGCAAAGCCCCTTCCTTTGGCCCAGCTACCTCCTCCGACTGTTGACTTTCTCCGCCTCTCAACAACCCAACATCTTAACAGTTGGTCTACACTGTGGCTTCTATCTGCCTACCGACCACCCACTTCTTAACCTTTGCTGTCTGTCTACTACCGTCTCACCATTAAAACTAACCTCTTGAAAAAAAATCCGTAGGGCCAACACCCAGTTCCGTCCCATCTGACCTCGGGGGCAGCATGTGCATTAACCACCCCTCCCTCGGGGAAGGCTTCTCCGGGCTGCTTTCTGCTCCTCATCCCCCAACGTAGGGGTTCAGACCTCTCCCCTCATCTCAGTCTCCTGCAGGGAGAAGAGAGGAGCTTCACCTCTGTCCCTAGACTCAGCCAGCACCCCCAGACTGACGCCTCAGGTCCTGACCGCCTCCCCAGCTCAGCCACAGCTCTACAGTAGGCTGCTTTAAGGACCCTATGCCCTTCCTCCAGGCCCTATAGTCTCCCAAACCCCACCTGAAATCCCCGTTAAAAGTCACCACCTCCAGGAAGCCCTCCAGACATGACCCCCACCTCCTCCTTTCCTGTTTCCTGAGTCACACCCTGATCTGAACACTTGCTGGGTACCTTACTCACCTCCCTCCCTGCTGGTCGCCTAGGTAGCAGGCCCCATACTGCGTGTGGACCTGAAGGCAGGAAGGCCCATTTCCTCCTGTCTAAGAAGCGGCCTCCCACCCCCATCAGGTCGCATGTTCCCCTCCTGGCACCTTTAATCCCGCCCACCCCACCCCTCCTCCGTAGACGGGGTGCCCCGGGGAAGTACACACTGAGAACCCTAAACGCCAGCAACACAAGGAGGAGCCCCCACCTTTGCTTTCCGCCAGCACACGCGCTGCGCTGGGAGGGGTTGGCCCTGAGCCAGGCCCCCGGGGCTGGAGGGGAGGACTGCCAGGTGGGGGCGCTCCAGGTTGGCTTTATGTACGAGGCTCCACCCTCCCGCCCTTCCTTGAAACAGGGACCAAAACAAAGTTCAACAGCTAACGTGGTTGGATTCTGAGTCAAACAGTGACCGGTGTGGTGTTTAGAGGGGGCCTGAGACTCTGAGACCCGGGGGTGGCGGAGGTTAATGCAGAAAGGACAGGTTTTCTGTTTGCTTCTAGCAAGAGGCTGTCGATCTCAGCAGCACGCTGACCACTCTGAGGGGAGCCTGGGCCCCACCCGGCATTCCCATTAACTAATCTTAAGGCCTGGTATTTTTTTAAAATCTCTCGGGAGACGCTAATGTGCAGTCAGGATTGAGAACTATGCCAGGGAGACACACACCCCTTGGTAACATTTTAGAGCTGCATGTGCCCAAGACACACTTGGGGTCAGTGGGGCTGGGAGGCAAGCACTCCTTCCACTGTCTGAACCCGGGTTTCATCCAGGCATAGGCAGGAACCCAGCACAGAATCGATCCTCGACTGACTCTTGTCACAGAAGAGGCGAGGTCTCTATGCCACACCTCCACAGGCGCAGTCACAAAAGTAGGGCGGCTCCCGCCTGTTCTCCCAGGGGCCCGTTCATCTTTCCAAAGCCACTTGTCTTCCCAGTAGGTGCTCTCCCCCTCTTCCCCTTCCCCTACTAGGATAGCATACAAGCCCCAAATTTTCACTGCCCTTTGAGTCACATTTTTCTGTGAACTCCCATGCATATGTGGTTGAATCTGTTTTCTCCTCTTGTTCATGTGGTGCTTGTCAGTTTAATTTGCAGGCCCCCAAACACAGACTCTATGAGGGTAGAGCCGAAGTTTTTCCTCCCCAGCACCTACAAAAAGAAATCCTTCTCTTCATTGCAGATCTGCACCTCTCCCACCTTTGGCCATCAATTTAGATTCCTGTTTCTCAAAGTCTATTAAAGCAGGACAACCTGCCCTACAGGACGTTCCCATCCAAAAAGGTTTCCACAATCAAATAAATTTAGCAACTGCTACCCTCTACAGTGCCTCTTTTGGATATTTAGAAATACATATCAATCTACTAGATTTATTAAATTCTACAATGTGAGGTGTGATTTCTTTTTTTAAGTTTAAATTCTTTAACTATTTTCCAAAATTACCACAGAACCCCTCTGTGCCTCTATAATGCCTATTAATGGTCCCACAGAGAAGCTAGTTTGGGAAACACTGGTTTATACTTATCAGCCCATCAGCTCTCTGCTCGTGCTCTAGGCCAGACATCAATCCAGCCTCTCTGGACACAGGGTATGACGGGAGGTGAGGGTAAGGGCCCCCAGGTAGGATGGTTTACTTGGGCAGCACAGGGACTTGGTATATTATTTTTAAATCTGAATTACCTATATTACCATCAAGGAGAGAACAGAAAGCTGTGGTTTATCTGCCCGCTGAATACCATTTGGCAATGAAAACATACAGACCAGAATACAGGTGTGGATGACCTCCATTCACAAACATAAACAGCGAACTGCAAAGGATGCTAACACATAATATGTTCCTAGTTATGTAGTTTTGCAACATGCAGGACAATACTGTAACATTACTGAGGGAAACACAGCACTGCGGCAGAAGTCTGAAGGCAGGAATGAGAACGGTAAATACGAATGTAGGTTGCGGCCCCGTCTGGTGGGGGAAGGAGGTGGCACTGAGGTGGCACTGACGAGGGTCTGCTGCTCAAGCCAGACAGGAGCACCGAGGCGTCCACGCTCTGAGACGGTGCATGAGTTTTTAAAAACAAATTAATCTTCAGAGGCCCTGGAGAAAAACAAGCCAAGAGCTTTCCTGTGGCTCGCTGGCTAGGTGACCCAGGGGACAAGCCAAAACCTCTGTGAGCTCAGGGTGCACACCTGTGAGGGGAGGCGAGCCCACCTGCTATGTGTCTGCTTGCGAGGAGGCGGCCGAGAAGCTACCGATGCCAAGGTGCCTTGAAAACCAGATGACGTGCCTAAGGAAGGGCAGCCAGCAACAGCAGTTCTGTTTTCATGACCTGGCAGAAAACGCCCGCGCAAAGGAAGCCCTGTGCTTTCCCCCAGGGCGGCGGCCTCGCTGTCGGGCCTGAAGCCTGACTGACAGCTTTTGTGGCTGCTCAGGATAGCTGATGTGAGGCTTTGTCAGCCCCAGCCCTGCCTTTTGGGGGTGCCCGAAACCCTCATCCCTTTAGCAAAGACACCACTCACGGGGAACTAAGAAGCTTGTGCGAACTAGACCCAGCCCAGCCCAGCCCGGCATTTTCCTCTTCTTCCTCTCCTCCTAGAACCAAGACCTCCACCAAGTCGAGATTCTGGAACATCGCTTCTGGCTGTTTCATCCGGACAGGACCCTGACCCTTCCTGGCTCACTCCACCAGCCTGGGCGTCCCCCCTGTGCAGGCCTGCCCTGCCCAGGGGCCACAGACCCCATTCGCGAGCCTCTCCAGAGGCTTTGGGTCTCAGCCACACCCCCTGGCTTTCCATTTCACACTCCACCACTTACCAGCTGAGCGACTCTGGGCAAATTTCTAAACCTCTTGGAAGCAGTTTTCTCATCTGCCAAAAGGGGAAAGGAATTCTTCCATCACCAGAATTCGAGAACGGAAAGGAGAGAGACGGCATATGTGCAGACGGGCGCTACACCTGGCACCCGGGCAGATGCTCCACCATGTCACCCTCCGGCGTCTTCCCAGGACTTGCGTGCACGTGGGGAGACGGGGTGGGGTGGGGGACAGCGGAGGAGGAAGCGTCTGCCAGCTTCGAGCTGTGGGGATGCTCCAAGGGGGAAGTGAAAGGAGTGAGCAGGGGCTGTTGGTGGGATGCGAAGAGTTCTGATCACTGATGAGTTCCATGCATCTGTGCTTTAAAACCTGAATGCGGCCCTGGAGATTTTCTGGGAAATTTCTCTTTTAAAAGTAGGTCTTAAAAAAAGTAATAAATATATACTATTCAGGGAAAGAAGTAAAAAATCAAAGTATATGGTATGGTACCATTTAGATAAAGTTCAAAACCAGGCAGAACTCTTTGCAGTTAAGGGACTTTTCTGAATCCCCGTCAAGGTGGTGACTACATAAATCCATGGGCATGATAAAATTCCACGGAACTGAACCAAAAAAACAGGGAGCCGAGCGCCTGTAAAACTGGTGAAAGCCGAGCGAGGTCTGTAGCTACATCAATATTATCGTACCACCGTCAATTTCCTGGATTTGATTAATGGGCTACAGATTCTACACCACATCCTTGGGGACAAAGAGGTCAGGGGGGTGGGGACTTGCTCCCCTATCCAGACTCAAGGGCACACGGGGACCCTATACTATTACTTTTGCAATTTCCTGTGAGTCTGAGATGATTTCAAAATAAAAAGTTTCTTAGAAGTACGTTAAAAATGTCAAATGCCATGAATATTTTAAGACAATATACAAGTCAGATGTGGAAACTGGCTGATTTCACAACTTGTCTGTACATCCAACCCATGCGTGCAGTGGTCCCTGCCTGCGGCCACCGTGTCAGCCTCGGGCCAGGCTGAGCCTCGCAGATGTAGGTCCTGCCTGCTCAGGTCTGAGTTGGGGAGGAGACACAAGGTTTGAATGTTGTATGAATGGAACCCACTCCAATTTGGCTACATTTAGCAAGGGCGTAGCACCTGAGAACAGCCCACCGAGGCTTGCTTCAGGAGGCTTGCTTCAGGAATCCCGGCTCCTGCAGGCATCAGGCGTTCCAGGCCAGAGGGCCTGCAGGCAAAGGTCTAGAGGCAGCTCAGGGCAGCAGCAGAGGTGGGGGGGGTCACGTGATGGGACTGAAGGTCTGAAATGTCACAAAGCATCACTCTAGGTTGTTCTTCCGGACCCCAGGAAGAGATGATCGCAGAGGTTAGGGGGGCGGGACTTGCTCACCTATCCAGACTCAAGCTCAGAAAAACGACTGTTTTATGGCCTTAGGCAAGGGCAGGGTGCCCTGGGGAAAGGGGCCTAGGCAGCCTGCAGGCACCCACAGGAGGCCCCATGCTCAGGGCAGCCATTTCTCCACCTCCTATCTCAGGCCCCAGCCCTCAAGCCAGGGTAACCTCTGGTTCCTGGGACTCCCAGGGCTGCAAGGTAGAGGCCGGCAGCCTGTGCAGGCCTGGGGTCACCCAGGAGTGGTAGGAGGTGCGACCAGAGGCTCCTCCAGCTCCCCTGGCCAATCCAGTTTGCTCTCTAGCAGTCCACACCCGCTGGCCTTCCTCCACCACCAGGGAAGAACAGGCTCCAGGGAAGGAGCTGGCACTCTGGCTGGAACTCCCCGGGCTGCTCCCTCACCCTCCCTGGGCCTCAGTATCTTCACTCGCACATCAAGCAGATGAATCCTAGAGCCTCTTTCAGCTGCAGAATTCTAATGTGAAAGTTAAAAAGCCACAAAAAGGGGATATGTACACCAGCCCGCACCCTTGCCTTCACGTGGGAAAAGGGGAACGACTTTCAGGACTGGTTTCTTCCATGCCCTGCCTGGGGGAGCCTTCCTATGGACTCTGAGCTGGGAGAGTCTAGGGGAGCCTAGAATCTTCCAGGGCTCAGGATGCATAATTCCTCCTCTTCAAGAACAAGATCACCACTTTCTAACTGTATCAGCTTCCTGTTGCTGTTGTAACAAATTACCACAAACTCGGTAACTTAAAACAACACAAATGTGTCACCTTGTAGTTTTGGAGGGCGGTCCAGCACTCTGCCTCTCGGGGCCCCTTCTTTCCTCCTCTGTAAACTGAGGCACCAGGGGACTCCATGAATCGTAGCAGGGCCCACTGCCTCCTGCACCCACAGAGAAGGGCTGGAGACAAAGGTTCTGGAACCCAGGGGGCATCTTCCCTATGCTCTGTACCATGTAGTGGCACCCGGCCTTCTCTCTGGTTTCCTCCCAAAGCCGGGATGGTCGGCCCACCCTGCAGGGACATGGGCACCTTTCAGTCACTGCCAGGACCAGGCGGCTTGCAGGAAAGCGGCTTTTGTTCATGCCCCAGCTGCCACTGCGAGGCCACTGCAGCAAAACAGGAGGCCGTAGGTAGCAGGGGCCGAAGAGGCCAGGTCACCCTCTCCAGCAGGGGAGTGAGGGGGCAGAGGAAAGCCAGGCACGTGATTCCTGCCTGCAGTTCTCAGGGGAAGGACGGGCTGCAAGTAAGGGAAGCAGGGCCCCAGGAGCTCGGCCATGGGGGATGGGAAGAGGTTCTTGCTGACACCCCCATCCATGGCTCCAGCCCAGGGCCTCCAGACCGACTCCAGAAGGACCCCACCCCCGTCCCATCCCCGGGGAGAAAGTGAGGCTCTCTGCGTTGCCAAATTCCAGTAATGAATCCCACATACATTCCAACTTCTTTGCTTATTGGAAACCCTCCCTCCACCTTCCGGGTTCCCTCTGAACAGCTGCTCTGCAGAAGTCGCAGAACTAACCAAGCAGAGTGGCTGGAGGTGCCCGTGCAGAAGAGGCGGCTCTGGCTCATCCCCGCCCACCCCATCCTCTGAAGAGGAGGCCTCTCCATCTGCCCTTCCCTGGGGAAGCTGGAGAAGGAGCCAGGAAAAACAGGGCTCACCATTAACCCTTCCACGCCTGTCAGCTTCCTGCAGGCACCTCACCCCCCAGGCCTGCAGGGTGAGAAAGGCAGGGGGGCCAGGCGCCCTTCACTGACTCCCTCCCACCAAGCTGAGGAAGTGAGCGTGGACGGCAGAGGCCCACCGCTGAGCCCTCGCGCATAAACACACAGCCAAGGCTGGGAGAGCACACGCACACACACGCAGGTGGTAACATGCGTTTCTTAGCAGGGCTTCCAAGCTCTAGCCTTGCATGAGGTGAACGATGTCTGGCTCCTGCAGGAGGAATTAGGGAAGCCCACGCAGTCCGCACCGCACCGAGGACGCAGACGCGGGGCTCAGAAGCAGGCGTGCTCAGGGGACGGACCCACGTGCTGCTCTGGCGAACTCGTGCAGCTCTTGACAGAAACGGCGCGCCTGCGGTGGAGGCTGCCCACTGCGGGCATGTAAGACACCAGGTAAGAGGCAAGAGCGCAGGGCACCCACAAAACTGTAAAGGTCCCATCTGGTCATGAGCCTAACGGGTGCCTGTCTTCCCAGCCGCCCACCTTCTGTGGACATCTTTCCGGAATGAGGTGTGGGAGATCGAGCCGCGCTGACCACGCTGGGCCATCTGCCTCCACACACACACACGCTCAAAGACGGGCCACAGAACCAGGGCCCGGGAGCTGTGACCCCAGCTCTGCCGCAAACCCACTGTGACCCTGGCCAAGGCCCTGCCCCATGCTGGGCTGCGGGTTCTCCACCACAACAAGGGGGGCTCAGAGGGGCCACCAAGTCAGTCAGTGGTTAGTGACGGGGGCTCTGGAGTCAGGCCTCTGGAATTGGGGGGCTCTGTGCCGGAGAGCCCCCCAGTCAGAGGAGGCCCCAACCCTCCCTCTGCGCACCTGCTGTGTGGCCTTGGACTGAACCTCTCTGTGCCCCAGGTTCCTCATCTGTGAAATGGGAATAACAGAATCGACTCACAGAGTTGCTGGGGACTTTTAAAAGAGGTGCTCCAGGTAAAGAGCCCTACAACCATGCGGGGCCGACAGCAAGCCCAGTTACCATGACCAGACACCAAGCAGCGCCAAGCATCGGGGGCCCTGTCCAGCCCTGGCAGCCAGGGGCACCCGCTCTCCTTTCCTCTTTCCCCAGTGGAGACAGTGGCCACAGCGGAGCCTAGCCGGCATTCTCGGGGCCCAGCCGCCCTCCTGAATTAGCGATCAGAGGCCCCGGGCCACCACCCTGGGTCCACACAAGGGCAAACCTTCTCCTCATCTACATTAAACCCATGCTTTCCACTCGCACCTCCAAATAGGTCTTTGCTTCATCTACAAGAGCAGATATCAACCCTTAAGTCCATGCTTAGGGGATGCCTGGGACTTGAGGCCTGAAGGGACCAGGAGGTCATGGCCCCGGGGCTGCACAGGGCTGCCTGCAGGCCGCCCCTCACACTGTCCCCACCACATCATGTGCTCCTGTCCCTTTCCTGGCCCTCCCTCCAGCAATGCTCCCGGTGGCCCTGCCAGGAGCACAGAGTGACTGGGGCCAGAACGGTGCAGTGCAGGGCCCGACCACACAGCCAACAGGCTGGAGCGGGCAGGCCTGGCATCCAGAGCCCAGGCCAGTCTTGCCACCTCACCGTGTGGCCCTGGTTCTAGGGAACCTTCCACAGAACGCAGGCCAAAGAGGGGCTGCCTGCCTGGACGGAGGGGGCAGAGGCCCTCCTCTCTCAGCAGGTCTCAGGAGCACATCCTGCAAACACCAAGCCAAGGGCCTGGCACAGGTGGGAAGAGAAACTTCAACACATGCAAATCGGTCCCAGCTTGGTGTTTCTACTGCATTACAAACACGCAAAATGTCTGGGGCTTGAAGACTAGAAGATGAGCGCTCTGTGCCGGAGAGCCCCCCAATCAGAGGAGGCCCCAAGCACGCTCTGCTCTCAGCCATCCACAGAGCAGCAGGAGGAAGGCCTTAATTAGTACCATACGGCGCAGTGCCGAGAGCTGAGCCGAGGGGGGAGGCAGGAAAGGAAACCAACACAGAACATGAAGGGCTGGGGGAGGGCAGGAGGCGGACCAGGAAAGAGCCGGGTGCACTCCTGACCAACGCTGCAGGGAAGGGGGTGCAGAGGGGCGGCCCAGCCCCCACTTCCTCTGCAGATTTATCCCAGCATTGGTTATCCACAGCCTGCCCCTGGGACAGCTGGATTCCACTCGGAGGTCAGGCTCCACTGCAGCCGAGCCCCTCCGCCCCTAGAAAGCCAGCCCGGTCAGTGCCGTGGGACACAGCTGCTGTTTCCGGCGGGGATGGTCGGGCCCCGCAGCAGTTTCAGCCTGGATGGCAGGCCCGGGTTTGTTTCCTGGACTCA